GGAATAAGAAAAAGAAGTGGGAGTGTGCTGGCACAGCTGCACAGTCTGCACAGTTTTTACCCTACACCAACACACATATACACAATGAACATTTGATTCAGACAGTCAACTTTACTTATTTTTTTTTACACCTTTTTTCTGTCATCATCCTGCTTTTGCAGCAACTTGTCCTTTGGGCTGATTACATGGACATCAAACTTACGATGTGTGAATCAATCTCCATTTATTACTTGTTAAACAGAAGAAAAACATTTTATTAAACCCAACTCAACAAAGATAGATCCTCCACACAACTCCGGAGAGGCAAAACACAAGTTTTTGTATAAATTTTCCCAACTTATACAGCTTTAAGATAGAGGTACTCCACGTGCGGTTTTGCTACTTTGCACCAACGCAAACAATCAACTTTTTGTGTTCCAGACACTGATGGTGAGGGGGAAATATCCTTTTTAAGTTTTAGCCAGCATTTACCATTCTTATTCTCTCTGTTTTGGCTAAATGTGACACATTAATTCCAATTTTGTATTAAATGTAATCATCCTGATGTAGCCCTTTTTATTTAATCTGTATCACTTCACTTCAAAGGGCTGAATGAATGATGTCTTTTCTGTTTCTCGTCAAATTAGATCCTTTTGAGAATTTTTTGAAATCATCAAAATCCGAATTAAGCATGTTATGTTTGGTCAGTTTTTTAAAAATAATGATAAAATATTTGATTTATCTCAAAATAGCATCTTCTGTATGTTTCTCATCAAATTATAGAGTTTTCAGAAACTCAAAAAACAAATTTTTCGGCAAAATCCTGATTTAGCATGTCATTTCCGTCAATTGTTGAAAAATGATGACATTTGGAATTTTTCGGTAAAATCCTACTTTCAGGTGCTGGTTAGATGGAGAAAAATAATGATGAAAATGCTTGGGAAGAAAAATCTAAATTGTATCTTTTCTGCATGTTTCTCTTTGAGCATTTTAAAAAATTTTAAAAAGAAAATGTTTTGGAATTTTTGTCATGTCATTGAAGTTTTTGATTTTCTTTTCCAAAATTTCATCTTGTCTGTGTTTTTTCATCAAATTAGAATTTACGGCAAAATCCTAATTTAGCCATTTTTGGTCTGGTGTTAAAAAACTATTATGAAATTATTTGGTCATTTTTTTTCTCAAATTTTTATCTTATCTGCAAGTTTTTTTTAATAAAATTAAAGTTTTTTGGGTTTTTTTTTTTTTTTTTTTGGTAATTTCTGGTCAGACATTGAACATTAAACAATTCTCCAGTCACTAGGTGGCAGCAACTCATACAGTGGTTTCTACAGATAAGAAAATTCATATTATCAGGCTCTCAATGGTATTTCAACTACAGAGGGCATGGAAACATTTCTGTCCCCTCGAGGCGAGATGACAGAAAATAATTGAGAACCACTGCACTAAGGCAATCATACCATCTCCAAGCACTGTACGAATGCCTAGATAACAACAGACCTGCGGTGCAGAGCATTTATTTAAGATATTAACTTTTTAACCAGGAAATTCTTCTGGCTAAAAGAATTTGCAGAGAAACTGAAAGAGAAATGTAATATTGTATACAACCGTGGAACCAAAAACTCAAACTTATAAGGCAAAAAATTATCTCTCCAAGATGATAATGAGTTGCGAAATTACTATCTCTTAGCTGAAAATGGGCCTTACACTGTGTGTGTAAAGGGGGGATTTGTGGTGTTCCAGAGTGATACTTCAGATAATGCCACAATACAATCAACTAATCATTAAACGCACTTTAAAAGTCAGCCAACGTTAGAGTATGTGATTGTACCATGTGGTTTCAAGGGCATCTAATGTGCAATCATAGTTTTCCTAAAAATACTGCAGAAGATTATAATATTCTATAGCGTTGTAAAAGAGACAGAGAGAACCAGGGGCGAGGTGAGCTAAATTCGAGTAATCAAGCCTCTCCTTATATTAGTAGGAGCCAGGACCGAGGAGAGAGGGAAGTGGACAGAAAAGTGCGTGCTGGCGCAGCAAACAACAAAAGACGCAACAGAAAAGAAAAGACAAGCATGGCGCAGGAGCGCGTTGGACTATTACAAATAAAGTCTGTTGAACTATCATCTGTGTCGGCGTGTGTGTCAAGGAAGAACTCACCTGCTACAACTATATATAGGGAGTGATCTTGTTAACAGTCAGTGCGTTTTATCATTTTTATGAAATTAGGTCCTACTGTGGCGGGCACTGAGGGGCATACCTCTCACCCAGGAGGGTTGTAGGTAAAGGGGCGTGTTTAGTACCCACTGATGTTGGTGCTCAGTGCCATGTTTGCTCTCTGTTCCTGTTGGCACAAACGAATAAACACGTTAAGAGCACCTGCGCTTCAGAGTCACCCTTCACCTGCCACACTACTACAGTGGGTACGGAAAGTATTCAGACCCCTTTAAATTTGTCACTCTTTGTTTTATTGCAGCCATTTGCTAAAATCAAAAAAGTTCATTTTATTTCTCAGTAATGTACACTCAGCACCCCATCTTGACAGAAAAAAACTGAAATGTAGAAATGTTTTGCAAATTTATTAAAAAAGAAAAACTGAAATATTACATGGTCATAAGTATTCAGACCCTTTGGAGCTAGTACAGCCATGAGTCTTCTTGGGAATGATGCAACAAGTTTTTCACACCTGGATTTGGGGATCCTCTGCCATTCTTCCTTGCAGATCCTCTCCAGTTCCGTCAGGTTGGATGGTGAATGTTGGTGGACAGCCATTTTCAGGTCTCTCCAG